GGGGCTTGAACTCAGGGCCTGGGCACTGTCCCTGAGCTTCTTTTGCTCAAGGCTAGCACTCTACCACTTGAGCCACAGCACCACTTCTGGCTTTTTCTGTGTATGTGGAACTGAGGAATTGAACCCAGAACTTCATGCATGCTAGGCGAGCACTCTACCACTGAGCCACCTTCCCAACCCACATATGTGCCCTGTAATGCACTCCATAGTTTGCTTACTGATGGCTAGAATGTTGGCTCAGCTGGGACAGACTTTGTGCTCAAGACCAGCACGCGGTGGCAGTGAGCCGGGCGTCTGTGCTGCTGGACTTTGACTTCCCGCCAGCCTAGGACCGAGTACAGCACCGAGTATTCCGTGCATAAACCTCCATGAAACCATCACCTTCCGGTGGACTCTCCTGACACCGGTCTGTCAGCCCCCAGTCACATCCTGGACCCATGAGGGTTGCTTTGGGCAGCAGGTAACGGATCACGGCTTAAGCACGGTGTTCCCTTTCCTGCCACAGTGAGGATTCTCGAGGCACAGGTGTGGGCCAGGCTCCCGCAGCCTTCCTTGATGCCTGAAGGGACCGGGCACCTGACTTTCTGCTCCAAGTAGGAGGCTTTTTCGTACAGCAAGCGCCTGTGCGGCAGGAAGATTGAGAAGCGGGTGAGGGTGTCCCTAGCTACTAGTGAACATCTGCTTTTCCCAAGCCTGGCCTGTGTTTCCCATGAGCCCATTCGCTGGCGCTCACACAAGCCCCTGGCTGTCCAGAAGTCCTGCTGTGGAAATGTATTTCTCTGCATCTCAGCCCCCTTCTGTGGTGGGGGGCTGTTCTGGGCTCCCCGGAACAAGGCTGGAGTCTCTGGGGACCTAAGGACCTGCAGGCTTCCTGCAGCCAGCCCCACAGCTGGTCCTGACTTGGGCATGTCTATTCTATCCACCTCCTCTGCGTCCCGGGCTGCATCCTCGGGCCGGGCAGCCTCTTGAGGCACCGCGGTGAGCCCGCTTTCCCGGGCTTCCATCTCCTGCTCCCCTCCAGTCATGCACCCCCCCCACTCCCCAGCAATCAGAATGAGCTCAATTATCAAATGAATCCTGCTAGTCTCTCCCCCCCCACTAGCTCCATTGATGGCATCCCAGAATTTAACATCTAAATTCCTGAACTCTTCTACCCCTTCCTATCTGGAACCCTACAGCGCTATTGCTCTAGCTGCACATCTCCACTCCAGTCCCAGGGTCTTCCTGTCTGTGCCTCGGACCTCAGGGCCTTTGTATCTGCAGTTTCCTCTTTTGTCTCATTGTACCTCCTGTCTCTTCAGAGAGTTCCTCCTGACCACCAGGTCATCAGATACATACATACATACATATATATATATATATCATGTATATACACACACACACACACACATATGCACACACACATATGTGTATGTGTGCACGCACGCAAGCCAGGTACTGGGGCTTAAACTCAGAACCTCTCACTCTTGTTTGTTTGTTTTTGTCTCTCTGTCATGGGACTTGAACTCGGGGCCTGCTGGATGTTGTCCCTGAGCTTCTTTTGCTCAAGGCTAGCACTCTACCACTTGAGCCACAGCACCCCTTCCATTTATGTGAATGTGTACACACATGTGTGTATGTGTATGTGAGTAGTTAATTAGAGATAAGAGCCTCATGGAGACTTTCCTGCCTGGCTGGCCTTGAACCATGATCCTCAGATCTCAGCCTCCTGAGTAGTTAGGATTAGTTAGTAGTGAGCCTGTCAGGTGTCCCCAGCCTGTGTGTGTGTGTGTGTGTGTGTGTGTGTGTGTGTGTGTGTGTGTGTATTTTGTTGGTCATAGGGCTTGAACTCTGGGTCTGGGTGCTGTCCCTCAGCTTTTCAACTCAAGGCTAGCGCTCTGCCACAGCTCCACTTGTGAGTTTTCCTGGTTAGTTGGAGATCAGAGTTGATGCTCAGCTCTCAGCCTCCTGAGTAGCAAGGATCACAGGGGTGAGCCACCAGTGCCTGCTACTGTGTCCTTTGAGAGAAGGCTGGGGGAGATGAGAGCAAGTGGCATGGTCTCACAACCGTGCCCCACTGCCTGCCCGGACCCTGCCTGCCCTAATGCAGCCACATCCTACAGCACCCCCACAGAGGGCGCAGGGGAGGTGGACGCCCACTGAATGCCCCGTGGTGAAGCCCCTTGGCAGGTGAGCCACCTGTGCTTCCCCCATGCTCCTGCAGGTGGCGCTCGAATGCCTGTACTTTCGGGAGAAGAGGGTCGGGATTGACTTGGTCCACGACAACGTGGAGAAAAACCTTATCCGGGTAAGGGGTCCCCCTGAAGCTTGCCCAGCTCTGAGCAGGGAGGGCCAGCTGGCCGGAAGTCATTGAGCTGCCCACGGGGATAGAAGTCACACATGTCACCCCATGGAAAGGTAGGACCCGGGGGGAAGCGGGAGAGATGGAGTTGTGGATCTTCAGCCTGTGTCAGGGTGACCCCAACATCAGCAATGATGCAGCTAGCGTTTATCCAGCACCTGCAGCACATCATATCCCTTCATGATGCAATAATCCACAAGGTAACTCGTGGCCCACGGTTGGTGCTCGATTTTCCTTCAATCTGGAAGCATATAAACAGTAGGACAGGTGTGGTAGCACACACTTATAATCTCTGCACGGTGAGTCTGAGACCTTGTCTCTGGAGGAAAACAAAAGAAACCCAAAGCGGGGGGGGGGGGGATGGAGATAAGGAAGGAAAGGGATGGAAGAGAAGGGAAAGAAAGGGAAGGAAAGGGCAAAGAAGGGAAAGGAAGGGAACTGAACCTGGACCCTCCACAGCTGACCTCAGGGGGGCCCTGGGGGTCGCAGGAGTGGAGATTCAGTCCCCACTCTGGCATGTCACTGGGGAGACCAGCATGGGCTGTGCAGGGCCGGGCGCGGCTCTGACCTGTGAGCTTTCCACCCACCAGTGCCTGCTCTTTCTGCCATCTTTATTTTTCATTCCAGGAAGTCGATTTGCTAAGATGTTCTCAAGATCAGATGCGAAATTTAGCTCAAAGAGTCAATGTTCAGATTCGGTAAGTGGGGGGGGGTCTTCCCTCCCCTCCCCACCCTGGGGCTTGTTGGGCGGGGGGGGGGGGCACTGTCCCTGAGCTTCTTTTGCTCAAGGCTAGCACTCTACCACTTGAGCCACAGCTCCACTTCTGGCTTTTTCTGTGTATGTGGTGCTGAGGAATCCAACCCAGGCCTTCCTGCATGCAAGGCAAACACTCTACCACTGAGCCACCTTCCCAGTGCTCGTGGCTACTCTTGTTTGCAAGGATGCCCAGCCAGAGGGCAACGTCTCCCAGAGGCCTTGCTTAGTCCAGGCCTCTCCACAGGCCAGCTCTGAAGCCGGGGATGGCCGAGGGTGGGTGACATGGGGGTGACCAGGCGAGGGGCCGGGGCATCGCCAGAGGGAGCAGGTGGACGCCTGGAGCCTGGAGTCTTCAAAAGCCATCCGCTTTGTTCTTGGGAGCTGACGTAACTGGTGTGGTGACACCCAGGGGGCTCGTCGTGTAATTAAAGGGAGACCTGGGCTTTATGGGGGTGGGGGGGCCTCAGCTCCCCGGAGTCAGCTTCCTACCTGGGCCTGGAGCCCAGCCCTGGCCTCTAACTCTTTCAGGACAAGCCACCCTGCTGGTTCTTCCTCTTCTTTGACTCTTGACCCAGAGGCCCCGGCGGCCAGGGCAGGCAGGCCGGCTTGCCAGGGCTGCCCTCCTGCTGCGTGGGGCACAGTGGCAGGGGATGGGGGAGGGGGAGGGGGGCAGCTGGCCCTTCAGCTCCAGGAGCCTGGCATCTTGGTCAGAAACAGCAGCCACCTGCCCTGCCAGGACGCAGATTCTCAGAGAGACCAGGACTGGACAAGAGAGAGTCACCCCGCTGTCATCCAAGGGGACCACGGGGTGTGGGTGGGGCAGGAAAGATCCCAGCAGGGCTGAATGCCAGCACCCAGTGGCCCATTGATGACCTGTTTGTGGTCTGTCAATTCACTCAGAGAACCTTAAGTACTTTGATTTCATTCATTTATTTTGGCCAGTCCTGGGGCTTGAACTCAGGGCCTGGGCACTATCCCTGAGCTTCTTTTGCTCAAGACTAGCGCTCTACCATTGGAGCCACAGCACCGCTTCTTTCTTTCTTCTTCTTTTTCTGTGTATGTGGTGCTGAGGAATTAAACCAGGGCTTCGTGCATGCTAGGCAAGCGCTCTACCACGAAGCCACATTTCCAGCCCCAACTGCTTGTATTTAAACAAGCCGCTTTCAACAAAAGGAGAGCTTTCATAGGCCAGTGTACTTTCTCTAAAGTTATTGAGGCTTTTGTTTGTTTGTTTGGTTGGTGTGTTTTGTTTGTGCTGGTCTTGAGGCCTGGGCACTGTCCCTTAGCTCTTTCCATTCAAGCCTGGTACTCTACCACTTGAGCCATAAGCTCTACTTCCCACTTACTTGCTGATTAAGTGGAGGTTGAGTCTTATAGACTTTCCTGCCTGGGCTGACTTTGAACCTCAACCTTACGATCTCAGCCTGCTGAGTAGCTAGACCTGGCACCCTGCAGAAGGTGTTGTTCTAAAAACTTGCTTATTTATTTTAATTGATCCATAAAAGTAATGGATTTGCTACAGGTGATATGACACGGGTGGGGTAGGCAGATGCAGCTCATTAGCATCTGCACTATCTCATTTATTTTATTTTGTCCCTTGAGCATGGTAAACTAAGACTGATACATTGTTACTCATTACAGTTGCTATCTTGCTACAACACACCTCTTATGTGTATTTCTTCAAGCTGAAACTTTGTATCTTTTGACCAACTTCTTTCCAACCCACCCTACCCCACCCCAAGCCTTAATAACCTTCTCCACTCTTTTAGAAATGAAACTTTTTTAGGTTCCACCTATGAATGAGAATCATGGGCACTTCAGTTTTCTGTACTTGGCATATTAAACTTACTATGTTTCTTCCTTTTTAACGGCTGAGTCGTATTCCATTGTGTATTTCTACCACATCTTCTTTATCCATTTATGTTTCAGTGGACACTTAGGATAATTCCATAATGTGGCCGTTGTGGCTAAAGCTGTAATGAAGGTTGTGGTAAGGGTGTCTCTTTGACATCCTGATTTTATTTCCTTTTGGTCTATATACCCAGGTGTGGGGTGGCTGGGTCAGGTGGTCGATCTAGGGGGAGTTTTCATGCTGTTTTCCATAATGGCTGATTCAACTTCCATTCTGGTGAGTAGTGTGGTTAGTGCCCTTTGTTCCAGCCCTCGGGAGCACTGATTATCTTTCATCTTCATGATAACAGCATTATACAGGCATGAGGTGATATCTCATTATGGCTTAATGTGATGTTTTGTTTTGTTTTGTTTTGAAGAACCAGTTGGCCATTTGTATGTCTTTTTTTTTTTTGAGAAAAGTCTCTCTAGATCCTTCGCCATTTTAAACATGCAGTCACGCCCATGCTATTCAGCTGTTCTATGTACGTTTGTGATATGTCTTAGATATTCACCCCTTTCCAGATAGATGTTTTACAAATCTTTTCTATCATTCTTTAGTTTCTTTTTCTTTTTCTGGTGATGGTTTGCTGTGCAGAAACGTTTTAGTGTTCTATAATCCAGGTTTTATTCTTGTTGCCTGTATTGAGTCCTCTCTCTCTCTCCCCCTCTCTCTCTCTCTCCCCTCTCTCTCTCTGCTAGTCAAGTGCTGGTGGCTCAGACTATAATCCTAGGCACTCAGGAAGCTGAGATCTGGAGGATTGTGGTTTGAGGCCAGACAAGGCTATCATGCTCCAATTCCAAAATAACTAGAAAAAAGCAGGGCTGGAGGCATGGATCAAATGGTGGGGTACCAGTCAAGCAAATGTGCAAGGCCCAAAATTCAAACCATAATCTCGCAAAGGAATGTTTGTTTTGTTTTTTTAAATCACTGCCAAGTCAAGGCGGGGAGTGTCACCTCACATTTCCTATGGGGTGACAGTGTCAGGTTGTTCCGGTCTTTGATCCACTTGGAGGCGGTTTTGTCCAAGGCAGGAGCCCAAGTGTCCCAAAACCATTTGTCCAGGGGACAGACTTGTCCACTGGGGATCCCTTTGTTGGAAAAATCACTTGGCCCCAAACGCATGGGTTTCCTTCTGGGCTCTCCATTTTTGCCTTCCTTTAATCGTGCATGCGGGACTTACTATTTATGGTAGGTGAGATTGGTTTTCCAGATGTGGCTGCCGTATGATGCACAGGGCCGCCAGGGTGAGGAGAGGGAAGGAGAAAGATTCAGAGCTGACAGAGTGAACGAGAGCCCAGATGTGAATTTGGGGAGCCAAACCCTGGAAGAGCGAGGCTGGTTCCTGGGCCTCGCTCGGAGGGTGAAACAGGAGCCGGCACACTGAGAAGAGGTAGAGTCAGGAGACGGAGAACTCTGACGCCCAGGCACAGAGACAGGCCGGGCAGCGGTGGCTCACGCCTGCCATCCTAGCTACTCAGGAGGCTGAGACCCAAGGATCCCAGTTCAAAGCCAGCCCAGGAGGGAAAGTCCATGAGACTCTAATCTGCAATGAACCAGCAAAAAGCGAGGGAGAGATGGATGGACACGGGGAAAGGCAGAGGGGGCTGGGAGAGAGATTGAGATGACAGTGAGGAGAGGGAAGCAGACATGGAGGGGAACCGGGAGCAGGTGGGGACCCCCGACCTCCGTGGGAGAAGAGGCTAGTTTGGGGGCAATCACAGGTGATCATAGCCCCCCCCCCCGCCCCATCCCTCCATAGGAAGGCAGCTCCAGCTGCTGGAGAGTGGAAGGCCTTGGAGGCCATTAGGCAGATGGCTCCCTGCTGCTCTGCCCCGGGTGGTACCCCAACATTGGAAGGAGGCTGGGCTGTAGGCTCCCCGTTTTCTGGGCCAGCCTGCATCACCTGCACAGGGCTGTGTCTTCATGGAGCAGAAATGGTTGTCCCGGACTGGGGAGAAGCCAAGCGTGGCTCTTGGCCCTGGCTGTGCCAAGAAAGGGAGACCAGGCTGCTCCTCCTTCCCCAGGCCTCACACAGGCAGGGGCCAGGCAACGGGAGCAGCTGGATTTGGAGTCAGGCTCTTCCCTCCCCTCCCCCTGTGTTACCTGCTCATTCCAACACATCAGGCAAGATGGGGCCCCGGCTCTCCAGGGCTCTGCCAGCTTGGAAGGCCCCAAGGCCGCAAGATGGTTCTTCCTGCCCTGACACCACCTCCTACCTCCTACATGCTCTGATAGGCAGGGACCCAAGCCAGGACTGAATTTTCCCACTCCTGCACCTCTGGGGTCCCTCTCCACAACCAGCACACAGTAGTGGGGGGCGGGGGGGGAGATAAACAAGCGGAAGAGAAGCAGACAGGCTTTGGAAGAACCAAGGGAGCAGAGTTCAGACACACAGAGATTAAGAAATGCTTCAGCCCCTGTTTGTGTGTCTTTGACTAGGACTCAGCTTTTTCAAGAACACAGAGAAACAGAAAAGGTTCAGGCTGAGAAGGTCCTGGAGGCAAGAGATAGAGGCCGGCTAGCCTTTAGCGTCCACTAAACTCCTTAGGTCTGAGGTGGGCTTCTATTAATAGATAAGAGTTACTGTTTGCCTTTGAAGACAGGAATGTGATTTTTCCCCCCTCCCTTTAAAATGTACTTAGGCTTTCAAGGCGATTTGAAAAGGAGGAAAATAACAGCGACTTTGGTATTTGGGCAAGAGGTATGAAAGTGGTTGTCAAAAGCCTAGAGTCTGGCAAACAGTGGCTTGTCCAAACTTCTCAGCTATGCTCCCAGCTCTCCTAGGCCCAAGTCCTGGACCCGCCCACTGTCTTCCCACCCACTCAGCCTTCGCCTGGCCTCGTCCTCGACCCCGCCCACTCCCTGGCCCCGCCCACTCCCTGGCCCCACCCACTCCCGGGTTGGATCTGCTTTCCAGTCCCTGAAAACGCGAGTGTTTGTTCCTCTGCTTGTGCACATGAGACCCCAGCTTGGCCTTCTCATTCCTCCATGCCACTTTGGCCCCACCAGCGGGGCTATCAGCTGGGAAAGCCCTGCTCAAGCATCTCTTCAGGCCGGCCGGACTCATGGCCCTTGCCCCCTGAGTGGGTGATTTCCTTCTCTGTGTTGCTTCTGTCCTTTTCAGTCCCGCTCTGCTGTCCTCACCGTGTTTGACGGTCATCTCGCTGTGTGTCGTCCTTCACACAGCTCTGAGCAGCAGGTAGTCTTGATCTGGGTTTTACTCCTGTCCCCCCCCCCCCCTTTGTGCTCTGCAGCATCATTCTCTAGACTTTATCCACAGTGTGATTTGGTCATCTAAGTCCACTCAGCCAAGGACAGCTGGAGGGCCAAGCCCGGCCCACCATCTGTGCATCTCAATAAAGCTTTATCGAAACAAAACTGTGTCCATGCACTTAGGTGTTATCCGGGGCAGCTTCTGCGTGTGGTTGAGTAGTGGCGATGGAGTCCACCTGAGATTTTGGCTCCTTGACCTTTTACTGTGCACGTTTTGCCTGTCCCTGTCCTAAAGACAAGAACGGGGTTTGGATTGGGAGGGGTGAGGGGAGAAGGTGTACAAGCAGGGGTAGCTGTGGGCACAAAAAGAGAGATGTCCAAATGGGAAGAAGGACTGACAGCGTTCAGGCCTGGGGACTGTCTTTGGATTCCCACCTTCCTGGGAACCCGGAGGTTGGCTTTGGGGCCTGGGCCCTGCACCTCACCCCTGTTGTGCAGGCTCTAGGTTGGTGCTCGGTCTCAGCACAAGTCCTTCTCCCCGGCAGGGATAACCGGGACACACAGCACTCCCTGGAGAAGGACATCGAGGACAAGAGCTCAGCCGAGTACATAGACGAGAAGTGCTACAACCTGAGAAACACATCGGATTCCATCAGCTTCTTCCACGGCATGGAGAAAGTGGATGGCTCGTGAGTATCGGGCTCCCTGCCCCCAGCCTCCACCCTGTCCCAGGGGCCCGTGGGTGCGTTAGTCAGGAGAGAGGCAGTGTGGTCTAACAGGGATTCTCCCTCACAAGTAGCAGCATCTAAACCCAGATGGAAATGGCTGGACTCCTAGAAGGAAGCCCTAGGCTCAAGAGGAAGATGACAGGGGCTGGCTCGGGTGGTCTGAGCTGGGTGGATTGCTGTGAGCTGCTTAGCTGGGGTTTCAGAATGCCATCTCTCCATCCTCGGCTCAGCATCCAGATTCCAGAAAGAGAGAGTGTGTGATTGGCTCGGGGACAGTCACGTGGCCAATGCCGCCCCGTGGGGGCAACCCCAAAGGGCCATCACCAGAAGGAGCAACAGCCCAAACTCAGCAGGAGGCCAAGGCCCCCACCAGGGCAGGGCAGGTGGACAGTTGTGGGCAAGTGCTGCTCACGCCTGTCATCCTAGCTGCTCAGGAAGATGAGATCTGAGGATCACGGTTCAAAGCCAGCCTGGGAAGGAAAGTCTGTGAGACTTTTTAGCTCCCATAAACTACTCTGAAAGAAAGCTGGAAGTGGCACTGTGGCTCAAGTGGTAGAGCGCTAGCCTTGAGCATAGAGAGGCTCAGGGACAGCACCCAGGTGCTGAGTTCCAGCCCCAGGACTGGCAAATAAACAAACAAAAAATTCCCCAGAGATGTGGTGCGTGTGATAGCAGTGACCGGGCTGGTAGCTCGGCCTTGGTTTCATGCTATGAGTTCTGTCTGTGGCCTGCAACTCTGCAGGGTGTGCCACCACCATGGCGGGCCCTGCTTTCTCGTGCTACAGTTCCAGGTTGGGGGGGACTGGAAAGAGAGGCACCCCCGGGCACAGGTGGGTGTGGGGTCTGTCTTGGCTCAGGCCCTCCTCCTCCCCCCCCCCCAGTCTTTTTTCTCTTGTACATGTAGAATTGTGCTTGGGATATATAGGATGCAATAAATGTTCCTGGAATGGAAGAAAGGAAGCAGGGAAGGAAAGAGGATGGAGGGAAGGGAGTGGGGAAAGAGGGTAAGAGAGATGCCTGTCTCTTGGCCCCAACCCTGAGTCATTTTCCAGGTCTTAGCAAATACTGAAGCCCTGAGCGGAGCCTGTGGGGTTTCTGGCAGTGGCAACTTCTGGGAGTCCTCCTCTCTCCGACAAGATGGAACCCCCACACATCCACGCACCCCATCTGCATGGGGAGTCGCAAGGCTCCCTTTGCATGAACAGATTCCTTCCCAGAAACCTGCTGGCCAGGCCGGCTGGCCGCGCCGTCAGAGGCCTTGCTGAGCCGGATGCTGAGAGTGGCTGTTTGCAGTGACTGATTTGCAGTGACCGACCCATCTGTGCAGGGCTTTGTGTTTGCGGCTTCCTGAAAGCAAGGGCCATGTCTGAGCAGATTAAAGAGGGTGATTGGGGATTGTGTGGCTTGAAGTTGTCTCTCTGCTTAAGGATTCTCATGCTGTGGACCAACTGATGGTGGTGATGGTGGTGACGGTGGTGGAGGCGATGCGGATGGTGATGCCAGCTCACCGAGGGCTCTTTTGAAAGCCATCCCTTCCCTCTAGGCTGCAGTGTGGCCCGGGTGTGGGGAGCCACTGGCATCCACTGGGTGGCAGCCACAAGGCTGTAGGCCTCCCATGTGAGGCACAGAACACCCCCACAATGAGGCAGAGCCCAGACGCCAGGGTGGGGCCTTCACCTTGCCCTTGCCTTGTCCGTCTGCAGAGTCTCAGTGCCAGAGTCCTGGTCCAGGTTCAGCAACAACAACATCAGACACTCTCAGAACATGCGGGCCAACTCCATCCGGCTGCGCGAGGAGGCTGAGCACCTGTTCGAGAGTCTGTCAGACCAGATGTGGAAGCAGTTCACCGACACCAACCTCGCCTTCAGCAGCCGCATCTCCGAGGAGACGGACATGAAGAACAAACTGCAGACCCAGCTGGCAAAGGTAGGTGCTGCAGAGCCCGGGGCCATGACTGGGCGTGGCCACCCTCCGGGCCACCCATCCGTCCGCCCATCCGTCCCTCTGTCCATCCATCTGGGGGTCTGTGACTGACAGCAGGGGCTGTGTGCCTTCCCCCACTCACAGGCGTGGGGCCTGGCTGTCACCACGGTACCCACAGGTTGCCGTGGTTTCCGGTGCCCTTCCTTCTCCATCCTGGGGCCTGAACATGATGGGGAGCCCCCTCCCCTGAGAACTGTGTGGCCCCGACTGGTCATCCCTGCTTGGCTTTCCAAGGCTTTCACTGAAGGGTGGATGTTGGGTGAGTTTGAGAAGTGGCGATGTACCCCTGGGCTGCTGCCGTCTCATGGGGCTGCCCCTCTGGGCGGCTCCTGGGACTTTATTTCCCTCTGTGCAACACAGCGACAGACTGCACCCTGGCTGCTGGAAGCCATGCTGGGCACCGGAAGTAAAAAAAGCAAAGGATGGGGGTGCACGCCACCTGCTCTCAGAAGTTTGTCTTCCCGGTGGACAGGGATTTAGGGGTGACTGTAAGTCACCCCTCTGCTTGGGAGTTTGGGAGAGATGTAGCAGGATTTATGGGTGCTAAGGCAACCCGTGTCGGCCAGGGTATGCAGGAGGCAGAGCAAATCATTCTTATTAAGTAATTGCCAGGTAGGATCATGTTAGGAGGGAGGAGGCGGGGTGAATGCGTCAGAGATGCTCCGGGAACCCTCTGTGGACAGGGATGGAGGCAGGCAGAGGAGCAAGCACATGGAGGAAACTCAAGGCTCTAAGTTCAAACCCTAGTACTGCCTCCAACAAATACAAAGTAAAAATGGAAGCTGGGTGCTGGTGGCTCACGCCTGTCATCCTAGCTACTCAGGAGGCTGAGATCTGAGGGTTGCGGTTCAAAGCCAGCCCCGGCAGGAAAGTCCATGAGACTCTTACCTCCAACAAACCACCAGAAAATCGGAAGTAGTGCTGTGGCTCAAAGGTCTAGAGCACTAGCCTTAAGCAGAAAAGCTCAAAGACAGTGCCTAGGCCCTGAGTTCAAGCCCCATGACTGACAAAAAAAAAAAAAAAATGGAGCTTTTGCTTGAAAAAGTCTACAGGGAAACCTGGGTAGTAGTTGAGTCCTTTGGACTGGGCTTTGCCCCCCAATTTGCCTCAGTCCCCAGCACCCCCATTATAGCCTCTTCACACACTGCCAGTCCTCCTGGGCTCTGGCATGCTTTGTGTCTCTGAGAAGAGGCAGGGAATGGGCATAGGAAGAGTTTAAACAGACCACAGAGCGGCCACACATTTCCACCTTGAAAGGCTGCCTCTGACACTGAAGTTTTCTTTAGAGTCCTCTCTTTCAAGCAGTCATTTAGTATGAGCAAACGCAGCCTTTTTCCTAGGAGGCTAGGTGGGCAGGCATGGCAGGGCCATGTCTGTGGGGGCGGGGCACGGCTGGTGATCAGTGCCCCTGTGCTGTCTGCCCGCCTGCCCTTCTGTTTGGCTAAGGAGGTCTGGAACCCATTGTGTGGTGGGAAATGCTTTTGTGCTTTGCAAGCAGCCGGATCTCTTCCAGCGCCGGGGGCTGGCGGCCAAGCTACTGTCGGCTGGCTTCTAAAACTAGCCAGGTCCTGGAAGTGCAGCCTCTGCCCGCCCCGCGCTGCCCTGTGCACACGGGACTGCCCTTAGACACCACATGCTGAGCGAGTGATCGAAGGTTAATAATAATAAATATATAAAAAGCTGTTCAGAGCCAGTGGCTCACACCTGTGATCCTAGCTATTCAGGAGGGTGAGATAGGAGGATCGCAGTTCAAAGCCAGCCTGGGCAGAAAAGTCCCTGAGACTCTTATCTCCAATCTTGAACCAGAAGGTTTCCCTAGGAAAAAAAGGATTCCACGCTGCCTGGCCTCGTCCACTCGCTGGCATCTGCCCTGAGCTAGGCCAGCCATCTGTCTCCCTGGAAACCCCTGGCTCCACAGAGTTTGGGGGGAAAAATGTGCAAGGCTGCAGAAAGCATCTAGCAGTGGAGCGCCAGCTAGGACTGCTCAATCCATTCCTCCCTCCACATCCCAGATCTCTTCCTGGCCTTGGACACTTTTTCTGCTGTCACAAGACGAGATGCAGGCAGATAGTTTTACACGGCTGGGGGAGGGGGCACTCTGCCAAGAACAGACAGACTCCCTAACACACATGGGGTGCCCAGTGCTCTGATGAGGGGGTAGAGAGGTGGATCATTGCCCTTTGTGCTGTAAATAGAAGTTTCCTAAAAGAAGAAAAGAGCTGTTGGTCTTGGGCTGGGGGGCATGGCTCAAGTGCTAGAGCCTAGCAAATGTGAGGCACTGAGTTCAAATCCCAGTACCGCCGAAGTGGAGGAGGGGAGGGACATATGTTAGCATTAATCAGTGCCAGCCATAGTTCTGAGGGTTTGCCTTAGTTAATAATGCTTTCCCTCTTATTTTATTTTTGGTCCGATCATGGGCCTGAACTCTGGGCCTGGGCGCTGTCCCTCAGCTCTTCAGCTCAAGGCTAGCACTCTACCACTTGAGCTACAGCACCACTTCCGGCTTTTTTTTTTCCTGCTTATGTGGTGCTGAGGAATCGAACCCAGGGCCTCAGGCATGCAAGGCAAGCGCTCTACCACTGAGCCACCTTCCCAGCCCTGCTTTCCCTCTTATAAAGAAGGATTTACTAGCCAGTTGCTATTGGCTCACACCTGTAAGCCTAGAAACTCAGGAAGCTTGGATCTGAGGATCACAGTTCAAAGCCAGCCCAAGCAGAAAAATCCTTATGAGAGTCTTAGGTCCAATTAACCACTCAAAAAATGGAAGTGTCACTGTGGCCCTGAGTTCAAGCCCCACAACCCACAAAAAGAAAAGAAAAAGAAGGTATCATATCACCCCACTTTACCCTCACCCCTAATCCTTTTTGCTTTATTTTTTAGATAGTGTCCCCACTTTTGTCCAGGGCTGGCTTTGGATGGTCTCTCTTTTTTGCCTTTTTACTACTTGGTGTTGGGGGGAGGGCATCACCCTGTATAGCAGTGCTGCTATCATTGCCATTATACAATTGGGGAAACTGAGGCTCAGAGAGGATCAGCATTTTTCCCAGGCCCACACAGCCTGCTGTGGTGGGGCCTCCTGATTTCAGAGAGTGGGCAGGCAGAAATCTATCAAGCCCTCCTCCCATCTCCCTGTGGTCTCTGCCTGGTACCTCTGTCCATTCCCCCCCCCCCCAAAAAAAAAGGCAGCCAGAGGCTGGAAACTACTAGCCTTGACCACAGGGACTTCGCTCCCAGGCAGGTTTTGTGGGTCTGACCGGCACATTTTGGACAGCCGGCTCGGGTGGGAGGGGCCGTGGCACTGATTTATAGCAGGGTTTTCGCACCACCAGGCTGGGGCCAAGTTCCCAGCCTCTACCTGGTTTTGCAGACACAGCGTTTCGGGAGCCCAGCCATGGCCCGGCCCTTGCAGGCTGTCTGGTTTGCTGAGTGCCACGTCGATTGATGCTGAGGGATGTGGAGTGGGGGGGGGGAGTCCCCACAGCTTGGACAAGGTGGGGGGGGGCTGGCTAAGATAGAGGTAGTGTAAATGCCTGTGTGGGTCTGAAAGGGACACCCCAGCGCCCCTTCCCCGGCCTCCTTCACTTCCGGCCCTGGGTGGATTGGAGGCCCAACCTCCCTGGAGGTCCACTAAACACCAACTCAAATGCCTCTCCCTGCCCGAATCCCCCTCCTAAACACCCCCAGGGCTGGCCCGGCCCCCTTGGGGGCCCCCTCCATCCTAGCTGACACAGAAAAATGAATCACCACATATTCCGTCTTAACACCGTGTACCAGTCATTGTAATCACCCTGGCTTTTCTGAGACGTTTTTGTTTTTTTGTTTTTGGTCGGTCGTGGGGCTTGAACTCTGGGCTTGGTTGCTGTCCCTCTGCTCTTCAGCTCAAGACGAGTGCTCTACCACGTGAGCCACAGCGCCACTTCCACACCCTGGCTTTTCAAACAAAAGGGAAAGCGCCCTCACAGGGTCTGCTCGCTAGACCATTGCTCTGTCAAGGTTCAACGTGAAGCTCAGAGAGGTGCTGAGCCACGCGAGGTCACACAGCAAGGAAGAGCAGATGCTGGTCCTGCACCCCCAGGTGTAGAACAGCCTGATCCCACCCTGGAGACAAGAAAATGTGGTATATAGACAAAGTGGAGCATTATTCAGCCATGAAGAAGGATGAAAGTATGTCAGTGGTTGGCAAATGGATGGAACTGGAGATGGTCATGTTACGTGATATGAGCCCGTCCTTCAGGGACAAGTATTGTGTGTGTGTTTGCCCCTCCAGAGCCAGAACAAAGCCAGGTCACGAGTGAAAAGGGGAATATGGCTGCTTGGGCAGGAAAAGGAGACATAGAGAGGTGATTGGGAACCCAGGGCGTTAAATGTGTCAGGGTGACACCCCCTCCCTTTATTGGGTACAGCTTAATAGAAGCCAGAGAGCACAAAGAAGCGAGGACCTGCAAAATCTGCTCCAGATTCCTCTCGCAAGTGGGAAGAGATGGGCAGAGATCAGGAAAGGGATGGCATACTAGATGGCAGACACCCCAAGCAAGAGGTGCACAGGGCCTGGTGCAGAAGGCAGAGCACCAGCCCTGAACTGAGGAGTTATTTACTTGAGTTTCAAGTCTTACAGCTCAGATTCTCCACGACTCACGTAGGTCTAATAGCAGTTTGGAAATCTGTAACTATTATGTGATGTTTTATAGTAATGCAATTGTTGCCTGATTAGTCCTTTTCTTTCTGCCTGGTGTTATTTACGGGGGATTTTTTGTTCTGTTTTTGTTTTGTCGGTCGTGGGTCTTGAGCTCTGGGCTTGGGCGCTGTCCCTCAGCTCTTCGGCTCAAGGCAAGTACTCCACCACTTGATCCACAGCGCCACTTCTGGTTTTCTGGTGGTTCATTGGAGATAAGAGTCTCACAGACTTTCCTGTATGGGCTGGCTTTGAACTGTGATCCTCAGATCTCAGCCTCCTGAGTAGCTTGGATGACAGGCTTGAGCCACCAGTGCCTGGTTTTTACAGGGTATTTCTAAAAATGTGCCTTCAATTCTGCTAAATCCAAGAAGTAGTTAACATTTCCACGGGCATCAGTCCTTTTCATTTTTGTTTCTTTTGGTTGTTGTCTCTTCCATCCTTTTAACTTTGGTGAAAATGAAGCTGATACATCCATAGACAGCCATGACACCTGGTTATTATTCCCATTCTTCACCAGAAACCTGAAAGAAGGAGAAGCAGCAGCAGCTGAGGGTGGTGCACAGCTGGGCAGCTGCAGAGAGGCCCGGGGAGATGGCGGAGGGCATGGGTGAGGTTTGGGACCAGCCCTTCCCAGAGCTGGGATCTGACTGGGAGAGGGAGCGAGGTGAGCCCTGCTCTCACACCGCCCTGTTCCAGCGGGAGTTCCCAGCTAGGGCAGGGAAGGCAGGGCGGTTGGCCAGATCCCGGTGCTGGCCCCACCCATAGGGTGACCCCCTGGGCCAATCCCCAGCCACCCGCCCAGCCTCCAGGCTGTGCCAGGCCCAGCCTCATTCTGAATCCTCCCCACCTCCCTTTCTTGGGGACAGGAGGATTTCTCGTTCCTTTGCAGGAGTGTGGGGTGGGAGTTTAGCAGGGCTGTGCCTGTGCGGGAGGTGGGCTGGGGGGGGCAGCTTTCATTGCTGATTGTGACTGCAAATGTGTGTGTGTGGCCAGCTCTACCACTAAGAGTTCCTGTGTCAGCTCAGGTTTTCAGGCCTTCCTTTACCTTGGTAAAGGAAGTAGGACAATGAGCCCTGTGGCTAGGGCTGTGTCCCCTGGATGCAATCCATGGTCCCAGCAGGGGGGTTGAACGCAAGGCCCGGTCCAGGCTAAACACCAGTGTTCTACTACGTGAGCCACACCCACAGCCCTTGCGTTTGTATTTTTTTGTTTCAGAGATGGGTGTCTCCACACCTTTAGCTGCATTGGCTTTGAACTTGGTGGGGAGGGGGAGGGGGCTGCCCTGCTCCACCATGCCAAGAAGCTGGGATGCCAGGGGTGTGCTACCCAGCCAGGTGGAGGTGAACACGACCTGAGCTGTGCCTGACACGGCGTCCCAGGGAATCAATCTGGCTAAGTGCATGCCCGTGTGGGCCTGGCACATTTGTCTTGGGTGTGAGCCACAAGAAGGCACCAGATGTAGAAATCCCCGGTGTTCTGGAAAACCCAGACAGGTCTGCTCAGGACGTACAGCTGAGTAAGGGGAAGAAGTGTGGAAAAAAGGAGAATCAAGGTGGGGCTCAGGCTGGGGCTGAGAAAGGGCAGGGTGAGGATGTGGGGGGGAAGCTTCTGTGTGACCCCTGGGCCTTGGCCTTTCTCCCCTGCTCGCCTCCCCAAATCCACTCACTCCCAGCTGCCTTCCTAATCCACATGCTACCTGGAGTCTTCATCTCCATGGTCCTGCTTTAAGAGGAATGCCTTAAGTTAGGATGTTAATTTATTCATGTAGTTAGTTTAGTAAGAAAAATACTTCTTTGTTCTTGTTGGTTGTGGGCTTGAACTCTGGGCCTGGGCGCTGTCCCTCAGCTCTTCAGCTCAAGGCAAGTGCTCTACCACTTTGAGCCACAGTGCCACTTCTGGTTTTCTGGTGGTTCATTGGAGATAAGAGTCTCATGGACTTGCCTGTCTGGGCTGGCTTTGAACCATGATCCTCAGATCTTAGCCTCCTGAATAGCTAGGAAACAACAACCTTTGAGTACAAAGGGCAGCTGGAAGAGAAATACAGAAAACAGAGCAGACTACTAAAATTCAGTGGGCACCTGGAGCCTGCAGACGTCTCTGGATTCTGCGGCTGTTTGCGGGCTGCAGGAAGAGGGCTGGGTGCCCGGGATTGTGGTGCCAGGGCTGGCTCCATGCTGGGCACGCCTGTGGCCATGGCCAGCGGGTGTGAAAGGGAACTGCCAAGGTCATATTCTCATCTTCCTCATCTGCGGTCAGGGAGTATTTCTAGAACCTCCCATATAGAATCGGTCTGCCGTGAATGTGACATCCGGGAGCAAGCCCTTGGTGTGCGGTAGAGGTGTGGCGCGTGTACATGTGGGAATTCCTGGCAGAAGTGGGCCCTGCTGGGTGGCAGAGGCCCCACCTGTGGGCCCCATACCACAGGTGCCTAATGAATACTTCCAATAGGAGGTGAAGGGGCTTGAACTTCAGAGAGAAAGTGCCTGTCCCTCCCTAGCAAGCTAGATGGCCCCTGGGGCAGGGCAGAGAGGGAACCACGGGAGGACAGGGCTATTGGCTGTCTCATTGTCCTGTCCCCATGCTGGGTCCTCTGCCCAGAACTGGGGCTTGGCGCTGGATGCTCAGTGAGCATGCGTGGGCAATCGCAGAGGTTGTGAATGAGCGTGTAAATGAATGATGAAGGGGTGTCTGCCCAGCCCCCAGCCCCTGGGCCTCCTGCAGTCAGGAGTCCTTGAAGCCAGATCCCCAGGAGGCTTGAGCACTCCTTCAGCAGGCCAGGGGAGCCAGGCCAGGGGATCACGGCCTCATGGGAGGGAGAAGAGAACGGGGGGGGGGAACTGCCGTAGGTCACCGGGATGTGGCTGGGCTTGGGGGGTGTGGGGGATCCTGCCAGTCACATTTCAATCCCTGGCACCCCAGGCCGCAGAATGCCAGAGCAGGTGCAGCTGAACAGCAGGGTGAGCGCTGAGACTGCCCCAAGCAGAACAAACAGGGGCAGAGTGGTAAAAGAAGGTTCATTTGCCACATTGCCATGTGCCCCTCTCCTGTGCTCCCAAGGGGCAACTTCCAAGGGAGATCTTCAGGGTGGCCTCCTCCTGTGAGCGTTGAGTGATTCATACTTGGGGGGAGGGGGTGTTTAACTAGCATGTGGCCTGTGTAGATGGGCCAGGGAAAGGGGCCAGGCATTGGGGGCGACGGACTCTCTGTTACATTCTGGCTGTCTCCAGCTGTCCTCTTCTTGCCCCTCCTTGCCCGGGATCCAGATGTGTCTCAATCATGGGGGTACAATGATGGCACTTTATCAGAAAAAAAATATTTTTAGGGAGGAATTTAAAAATTAGAATGTTGTTGGGTGCCGGTGGCTCACACCTGTAATCCCAGCTACTCAAGAGGCTGAGACGTGAAGATCACAGTTCCAAGTCAGCCCAGGCAGGAAAATCCTTGAGACTCTTATCTCCAATCGAGCACCAAAAAGCTGGAGGTGGAGCTGCAACTCGTGGTTGAGAGCTAGCCTTGAGCACAAAAGCTCAGAGTCAGCACCCAAGCTCTGAGTTCAAACCCCAGACACACACACACACACACACACACACACACACACACACACACACATGATAACCTTCCCTTCCCTTTCCCTTCCCTTTCTCCTTCCCTTTCCCTTTCTATTTCCCTTTTGCTTTCCCTTTTCTTTTCCCTTCCCTTCTGTTTGATCGATGACTGCATGATGGAGGTCCTCAAACAAAACCAACCTTTGTACCAGTCCATCTCGGACCATTCGGGGATGAGCAGGGTCTGCACCCTGCAGGTGTTGAAGGCTGGGGAAGGGGGGAGGGAATGCAAGGGCTGACCCCACCCAGCACCCTCAGGGCCCCAAGGGGAGGACACGGAGCATGCTGGCAGGCGGTGACCGCCTCTTGGTCTGCACAGACGCTGCAGGAGATCTTCCAGACGGAGAACACCATCATGCTGCTGGAGAGAGCCATCATGACGAAGGAGTACCCGCTGAAGGTGGCCCAGACCAGGCTGGACTGCCGGACCCGGCGGCCCAATGTGGAGCTGTGCAGGGACATGGCGCAGTTTAAGTGAGTGTCCCAGCCAAATAGGGTGGTGTATGTGTGTATACGTGTGTGTGTGTGTGGGGAAATCCCTGGGGATCCGGAAAGGGAAGGGAGGGGTCTGAAATATCGAAGGACCCTTGAGTATGGAAATGGGCTCCCCCTCATGAAGCCCCTTAATTTTACCCCCACCCCGTCCTCTTTCAGAGACTTGCATTGTCTCTTAGCTTATTCACTCAAGATGGAGCTCTACCCCCTTGAACCACAACTCCATTCTTGACTTTTTTTTTGGGGGGGGGGCTGGTTCGTTGGAGACAGGAGTCGCCTGGACTTTCCTGCCCAGGCGGTATTTGAACCTCCACCCTCAGATCTCAGCCTCCTGAGTAGCTGGGGTGATAAGGCGTGAGCCACCAGCGCCTGGCTGGCTTCCTTTCTAACTTTCCTGGTGCTGAGGACTGAGCTGCCACGGCCCCCTTTCCTTTTAGTTCATTTTCCTAATGGACTGCCCCGGGCTGGCCCCCACCCAGGACCTGAGGGGCAGAGCACTGGCCTAGGAGCCGAGAAGATGGGGTGGGGGGCACACACCACGCACAGAGCAGCATTCCTTCGGCTGTGGTGGCCCAGCGCGGCCCCACCCTATGTGAAGTCTTCGTGTCAGTCCGTCCCGCGGGCCCCGTCCACGTGCCTGTCTGTCCGTCCCTCTGTCCGTCCGCGGCGGCTCAGCGCGGCCTCTCCCGTTGCCCTCCCTGCCCGCAGGCTCACCAACGAGGTGTTCACCATCGACGACACCCTGCAGACCCTGCGGCTGCGGCTGCGCGAGGCGCAGGACGCTATGCAGCTGCTGTCCATGACCAAGTCCCGGCTGGAGCACGAGCTGGCCATCAAGGCCAACACGCTGTGCATCGACAAGGAGAAGTGCATGAGCATGCGCAAGACCTTCCCCAGCACGCCGCGCCTGGTGGGCTACACCTGCCCCGCCCTCTGCTCGGGAACCATCGTCCCCTGCGGCGTCGGCCCGGCCGCCGGCGGCGCAGGCCCCGCCCCCTACGCGC